GGGGTTTAAACAGATACCAGTTGACTCTTTTACTTATAAACAGTTCTTCGCTTCTGGTATTCTTCCAGTTGTTTTTGGACATAGAATCATTCATCTGCTACTGAGAAAGCTCAATTAGCATTCCCAGGGGCCGTTTTGATTGTTTTCAATGATCGACAGAGGTGTCTGCTCAGTGTTTGTGCTTTTATATTTGATTACTGCCTTGGATACTTTTGCTCACTGTTTTCTCATGCTCTGTCTATTAAGGTTAACGCACCCCACTTGCCCATTTTGTTTGTGGTGTTCCTGAATACTTTATTTTTTATGTATTCATTTATGTATTATTTCATTAAAGGCAATTTTCAGGCCTACCAACCACATTAAGCTTTTTTAAAGCTTCAGTTAAGTAATTTTAATTAACCCCACACCCGAGATATCAAATTTGACAGATTTTTAAGTGTCCAGGACCCTCTTAGGGACACTCCCAATAGGGGCTAAAAATCTGGGACTCTCCACCAATTGCTCTTAGAGCTGAAAAAGCTCCTCGGATGAGAAGTGAAACAGCTTCAAAAAACGTAAAGAAGTCCAGACGCGTTTCTTTCCAAACTCAGTCACCTCAAGGAACTTTATATTGTAAGGTAAAGACTCTACAATAACAACTAAGGCTATTTATGGAATGACTATTAAGTCTTCTTTAAGCCAGCCATTTTCCAAATGTCCAGAAGTGTCATATTTATGGTCTAACTTCATTGGTTGAAAGGGCTTACACCCCTTTTCTGTTCAGTTCCTCCCTTCCACTTCTTTAACATATTATCCAAAGTACCCTGCCAAATACTTTTTAATGTGTCTTACAAGGGACCATGCTTTATATTGCATACTGTTGTAAATGTAATATGCAAGTACAATGCTGCTGTTATATTAGTCTATGTACAAGAGTTCTTCTGGTAGAAATGCATTTATTAAGTCATCCGAAGTCTGCAGGAATTAAGTCTGCACATGTGTGCATGTGTGCCCACTGCTTGGAATAGCCAAGCCATGTGATTCTTCTAGATTCTATTTCAGATCGCCTACTGTCCAAAGCCCCACAGTCTTCACAGCAGCTTAAAGAAAAGTTAACAAATGCACAGTTTAATCCTTCTGTCGTCGCTTATCATTTCATCAGGAGTTGTTAGGTCGAGCGCTGAAGTGTACCTGTAGGTGTGTTTGAGTAAGTACTCTGTTCTGTCTTCTTCTGCCTTCACAACGAACAGGTTACTTTGACATAAGGTTCAGAAGGCGTATTTTAGTTTGTTTTGAATGATCAGATTTCATTCAATTTGAACAAAATCTGACAAAATGTAGATTTTTCGACAGAAAGTTGTGACCCCAGACTGACCCGTATACTCAAGTCAGTCAGGGGTTGTGTGATATATATAGGTCACTTTCATTGGTTTGTTTTTGTTTTTTTTTCTGCAAGGATTTTATGACTGCACCAGAACATTTTTTAAAATCTTTACACTAAATTGGATTTTTATTACAAATTTGTATTTATGAGCTTCTGAGATCATAGACAGATGCAGCATGTGTAATGCTGTGATAATCAAAGCAGTATGCAGTATTAGTGCTTCTGGTTTAGTCCAGATTTAATAGATTATTTGTACAATGGTTGTTCTTAAGATGAATAAAGCATATCATTTCTCAACTTTTACTTGCGCATTGTTACTTTTCTGCATGTCTATACACGTTAACCATTCACTTTCATTTGCTGAATGAGTGAAATAATATAGGGTTAATACATGGCATGCATTAAGGAGAAATGGCAACCTGAAGTCACATTTTACTTTGAAAAAATGCTAGTTTTTTATGTCATGCAGTATATGAATCAGATATATCAATTCTGTAATTGAAGGCTGGAACTAACACTTATCTTCACTTTTGATTATATTCTCTATCAACTGTTTGGTCTGTAAATGTCAGAATCTACCAGGAAAATATTAACATTTGATTTTCTCATTTAACTAATAAAGGACCAATTGGTGTGCATCTAATCAAAAGGCATATGTTCATTATCTAGGCCCTTAATAGTGGAAAATAGAAGAGGCAGTCACCTGTGAAAATCTAATGAATGGCCATCGAGCTTACCGTTGAACGTGTATCATCATTTATAATCACTGACAACATGCAAACTATAGTGACCTCTACAACACTGCTGCAGGTGTGACTTCTGTAGCAGTTTCAGTTTGATAATGGTGGACAGCTTGATGCAACAAGGAATAGAATCATTTCATTGTGCCAGCACATTACTAAATTTTCCCCATTTGTTTAATGTAAATATGAGTTATTGCATTTTCTTGCCTTTTTTCAAAGATTCTATGTTTTTTTTGTTTTGTTTTTAGATCTGCTGAGATTTGTTTTTAGTTCAGTGACATGAAAATATCTGTACAGTGTTTTTTGTCCTGAGCAGTTATTTTCATTTATTCCCTAAAATGTGGCTGGTTGCATGTGATATTATATTTGTATTTACATATGCTATATTTTACAGCGTCGTCTAAGTCGGCTTTAGATATATGTGTGTAATTTTGCTTGGTTTGGATACAAGCTCATTTATTAGACATTTTTATACAGTGTAATTCATAATTAACGTGTGATGTGCTAGGCTGGAAAATTGAATGTGAGCCTGATTATTCTCAGAGGTAAGTGCGACGACAGTGTTCTCACATCAGCTTGTCCTTGGGTGGAAGTTTCCGTGAGCTGTGGCAAAACTGTTGCACTGTCCGCATGACCTCTCGTGTTCATATCCTTAGGTCACTGTAATCTGACAAGGTGTCTGGATACTTGTCAGGCTGCTACTCTCTGTTACTTGTGTTTATCTTGTGCAAATGACTTAGCTGTATGATCCAAACATGGGCTAAACAGTAACAATCCTGGCAGATACTTTTAGTTTATTTTCTGCAATGAGTAACGCACTATAATGAGCTTCCTTAGCTATTGTCAGAAATGATTCGGAGTCCTTTGTTGAAACAGGGGAGATGAAAAACTAAGCGTGTTTTTTAAACTTACTGTCTTTCATCTATAGGTTGTGACCTCTGAACCCCTAAACCCTGACTTTTGCTGAGACCAGAGTGTGATCCATGGCTATAAAGAGCCTTCTGCACGCTGCTTCCACTTTCAGGAAGCAGCTGATGAGGGTGAAGGTGGTAAACTCTAACTCCGAGGACTCCCGTCTGTGCCGATGTCTCAACACCTTTGACCTGGTAGCCCTCGGTGTGGGCAGTACATTGGGTGCTGGTGTTTATGTGCTCGCTGGTGCTGTTGCAAGAGAGAATTCAGGCAAGTGACATTACTTTTGATAGTGAAAACATGCGTATTGAGGAAAAACCTGAAAGTTTTTAATCATATGATTCCCACCACCTTCCACAGGTCCTGCTATTGTGCTGTCATTCCTGATAGCAGCTATAGCCTCAGTGTTAGCCGGGCTTTGCTACGCTGAGTTTGGAGCCCGTGTTCCCAAAACAGGCTCGGCTTATCTGTACTCCTATGTGACTGTAGGCGAGCTGTGGGCCTTCATCACTGGATGGAATCTCATTCTTTCCTACGTCATTGGTAAGCATAAAGCACCACTGCTTTATTGTTTCTGTTTTGCCTAGTTTAAGGTCATGTGTAGGAAGAAATTTGTCTTCAAGAATGTTTTTTTCTTCGTCTCAGGTGCCTCCAGCGTGGCTCGTGCATGGAGCGCCACCTTTGATGAGTTGATAGGGAACCCCATAGGGCAGTTCTGCAGACAGTACATGGCCCTGAATGTACCAGGAGCACTGGCAGAGTATCCTGACATATTTGGTGCTTTCATCATAATCATTCTTACAAGTAAGAAGACATAGAAAACATTTAATAGTACACTTAACACATTTTCCCAAGACATTTTTCATTTTCCATTTCTTTGTCCTTTGCAATTCTAAGGTCTGCTGGCATTTGGGGTCAAAGAATCAGCAATGGTGAACAAGGTCTTCACTTGTATCAATGTCCTAGTCTTGGTGTTCATGGTGATCTCTGGATTCGTCAAAGGCAATATTAAAAACTGGCAGCTAGACCCTGAAGAGATCCTACATGCAAGTTATACAACAAACAGCACCAAGTAAGGACATATTCAATGCTGAATCTTTCCCTTTAACTGTCTCTGTTACTCTATTTTGTTTTTATCTGGATGACATTCTTTTAGAACTATATTTCATATTATTTATATTCCTCTGGTTTAGTGTGACAGACGTCCTGCCAAGCGCAGAGAGTTTAGGAATCGGCGGCTTCATGCCATTTGGATTCACCGGTGTCCTGTCAGGAGCCGCTACCTGTTTCTATGGGTTTGTAGGATTTGACTGCATTGCTACCACAGGTTAGTGCTGATCTGACCTGAAAACTCTGTCGACCTTCTGTTTTTGACTCCCTCTGCTTCACGTCTCGCAGTTTCACATACATCTCCCTTTGACGGCCTCATGGGTGTGTTTCCATTTTCAGGGAGAGAGGGGGGAATGTAACTCAATCTTTTTGGAACCGTTTCAGCCCCGAGCTTTCCTAAACATCCAGAAGTATTACATAACAGGGGGGCAAGAGAGAAATTAAAGATGCACTTTACTGCGTTTGACTTATTTCTGCTATTGGCTGAAGGCCAAAAGACTGCTACTCAGGTTAGGGGGGAACAAACAGGGTTTTGGAAGAGGGCATTCCAGAGGTTTTTCCCTGAGTTTTGCAGAGTTTGTGAACAGCCTTGTTTCTTTATACATGTTACAAGGTTTTTTCCCACCCATAGGTTTCCTGAATTTTAACTGGCTGGCAAGCTGACCAGTTAGCCTTAAATTACGATTGTCAGACATAACACAAACTCACAATGATCTTTTTGCATGTGTGTGTGTGTATGGCAGTAAGAGTTAAGTTGGCATGAAGCCATACTCCATTTCCCCTTGACACACACACACAGACACACACAAACACACAAACACACATATCATCCACACAGCAGTTGTCTCCGTCACGTTTCAGAGCTCTTTTATTTTACAGTACTTTGGGCCTGCTTTGACACGTAACTGTGCGTCTTATGCACTCACTCCATCACCATAATGTGGTTTTATTACACAGCAAGGCCTTCCTACATAATCACCTGCAGCTGAGCAGTTAGGCCCCTCAGCATGGTGGCTCCCCCGAAAAAATAAGCTAATATCTTCAAACCTTGCAATGAATTGGGAGTGGCTAGTAACAAAGACATAGCTGTATAGCAGACGATGGGGCGATTTAGGAAATAACTAAGAAGGTAAAGTAATTTCACTGCTATTTACAGGTTCAGTCAACCACTTAGCATTCAGTTAATTTCCACAAAACTTTGCATGCACTTCTCGATGCAACTGCAGCACTTCTGTAAATTATGTTACCTTTCTGAATACAGTGCCTGCACCCTGCATTCAAATGGACAATTCTCAGATGAAAGCATAAAACTCCTCCAAAATCTGAATATCCATCCATCATCCATCCAACACTAGAGTTTGTACTGTGTTCTGTGTTTTCGTTCCACTGAATTTTCACATATTCACTTTTCTGCCTCATGTTCAAACGCTGAAAGTAAGAATTTCTGTCTTCTGACGATGTTTTTCAAATATAAATATAAGCAAAAAATGGCACATTACCTGAAGATATTTCTGCACCCGTTGAAGTCATACAGAAGCAGATTTGCATATCTTGGCTCTTAACTGTGTCTATATATTATATATGTCCTAGGTGAAGAGGTGAAGAACCCCCAGCGAGCCATTCCTTTTGGTATCGTATCCTCATTGCTCATCTGCTTTGTGATCTACTTCAGCGTTTCTGGTGCTCTCACCCTCATGATGCCATACTACCTGCTGGACAGCAACAGCCCTCTGCCTACAGCTTTTAATTATGTGGGCTGGGGGGGCGCGAAATATGCCGTAGCTGTAGGCTCTCTTTGCGCTCTGTCTACAAGGTAAGAGATTTGAACTTAGAAGCACAATGAACATGTACTAGATCTTGCTGAGTAAACTTTGAACTGATTACCACTAAGATAAGCAACTGTGAATACCAGTAGATATTCTATTAGGCTGAGGAATATAAATTTGTTCCTTGTGGACTATGACATTTATTCAGCATTGTCCACTCAGTCATCATTAGCCAACTGCAATTTTCCTTTAAAAAAATCAAACTGGAATCCTATCAAAATATAGATGTTTGAATTGGGAAATGAAACACTGTCACTCAGCTGCTACAGCTGCAGCAGGAGGGCAGGAGTCAGTAACTAACTCAGAGTTTAAGCTCCTGTTTTTTGGAACAGAAGATCCAGAATTTCCCCTATTTCAGGATTAGCAAACTCAGAATCTTCACTACATCTGCTTTCTGGAGCGTAACCAAAGACTATCATTCATTTTAAATGCGCAGTTGTGTACACGGTTCTGTCTCAGATAACTACACACACACACATATATTTATGTTTGTGTTTCTGAGCGAGAGTGTATATTTAACTTCGGAAAGCATTTGATGCCTTAACTAAAAATAAAACATGCTGCTGAGAATATAGCTGCACCATCACTGTGTGAAGGCGATTATGTAACAGGGACTCAGAAAGGCTAAGGCAGGTGACATTTTTTTTTACTAACAATTAGTTTCTAATCACTTTAATTTTTGCAATTAATAATAGCAACAATCAACCAATATTTTATTCATGATAGAACATAGAAAACATATCAAATGTTTAAACTGAGTATTTTACTATTTCATGATAAAAATTACGATACAATGATAATTTTGAATTTGACGGCACCAGACTGGGCATGGGTGCAACAAACGGCTGAAAAAGAACATTTTGATATTATCTTAAATGGTTAATTGCTGCATGAAAGGCAATAGCCAGAAATCAATATTGGACGCTCGTGTGCTTCGGCCCCTCAGGCAACACCGCATTAAAACCAGGCATGATTCACAAAGGTTAAAGCTCTATCATGCAGAGAAGAAACTATTTATGAACATGATCTAGAAATGCTGTCTTCTCTGGGCCAAAGCTGTGGTCCAGTGAAATGCAATTTGAAATTACCTTAGGTAAACTTGGACACCGTGTCCTCTGGACTAGTGAGGAGAGAGACTATGCATGTTGTCATTGCTGTGTCCAAAAGTATGCATCTCTGATTTTAAGGGGATGCATTAGTGCATTAGTACTTTGGGGTTTTATAGTGACATATGCTGCATATCTCAGCAAGACTGTGTTAAACCACTTCTTGAAACACTTAGAACTGCATGGTTTCATAGTAGCAGAGGGTGCTCAAAGGGCCTACTTGGAGTCCAGACCTTTCACCAGCTGAAAAGATTTACATGAAATATTTTTTCTCCTATCATCACAAAAAGGTCGTGGTGGATGGCTGTCGCTCCCTGAGCCTGGTTCTGCCAGAGGGTTTCTTACTGTTAAAAGGGAGCTTTTCCTTCCCAGTGTCACCAAGTGCTTGCTGAAAGGTATTTGAGCAAGCACTTGGTATTATTGTAAGGTCCATATCTTTCAGTATAAAGAGTCTTGAGGCGCTGTTTTTATGAATTGGTGCTATAAAAATAAAATGAATTGAAAATAAACGTGTAGTGAAAAATACGATAAACAAGACCCAGGGCTGTTGAACAGCTCAAATCAGATAAGAGTGAGATAACATTCCTCTTTCAAAGGTTCAGCAGCTGATCTCCTCAGTTCTCGAATGTTTCGAGACTGTTGTTAAAAGAAGAGAGGATGCCACCCAGTGGCAAACAGCATGGCCCTGTCCCATCTATACTAAGACATATTAAATTCAGCTAATATTAAATATAAAAATGAGCTAGTATCTTTGTTTTAATGGTACATTTTCTCAGTTTAAACATTGATTTTTTTCACGTTTTATTTTGAATAAAATATGGGTGCATAAGATCTGCAAAACATTGCATTAAACTGTTATTTACATATTACAAAGTTACATTACAAAGTGTTGCACATGTGTTCCTAACTTAAAATGTATGCACAACATATTTAAGTATCCTGTGTTCTGTGTTTTTTTCTTTTGTCTTAATCTGCTGTATCTATGTTGAATGTAATGCTCCTTGCATATGTGTGCTGTTGTCTTTGCTTATGCATGTTTCACATGGTTGCTCCTGTGGATACTTTATATTTTGGTACGCCCTTCCCCCCATGTTAGCTTGCTGGGTTGTCTGTACCCTGTTCCTCGTGTGATCATGGCTATGGCTGATGATGGGCTGTTATCAAAGTCCTTGGCCAGGGTCAACTCCTGCACCAAAACCCCACTAAATGCAACTTTTGTCACTTCCTCTCTGGCAGGTGAGATACTAACATGCGTTAGCATTAAAAACTAATTATTAAGTGTTTTACATAGCCAGGTCTCTGTTTAGTTGGCTGAGGGAGTCAAGGTTATTGTGTCTATACTATAAGTCTTCCATTGTTTTTTCTGTTGGGAAACTTGAGACATATTTTCTAACTTGCATCTTGAGAAGGAGATGTGCACCAGCACTAATCCAAACTAAACCGCATGGTACGTGGACTAAAACTGACAGTAACAGCATGTGCAAAACATGCAGTCATACAGGGGGCCAAATTTTACATGCTGACATCAGAGTATCCTTGTCCCAGCATGTTGTTCTTCAACAGTGTTGCCAGTCTGGCACGCTGCAGCATGTTCTTTAACCCCCAGATCTTTCCACCCACATACGTCTACTTTCTCTGAATCTTCCCTTGGTACTCGCTGACCTTTCCTAATTCTTCTTTCCCCCTTGTCCCTCACGTTACACCAAACCGCTGCCATCACAATATGATGCCCTCCCCCCACCTTTACCCCAGTCTGTTGGGTTCCATGTTCCCCCTACCTCGTATCATCCTTGCCATGGCGCAGGATGGCCTGCTCTTCTCCTTCTTGGCCAACATCAGCGAGAGAAAATCTCCCGTAACATCTACTGTTGCTGCCGGGGCTATAGCTGGTAAGATAAAGGGGGGCGTTAAATAAAAACGCAAATTCCTGTATTTGAGTAGAGGGACTTGAGAGAGGCAGTGATAGAAGGTCAGGTTTGAATTGAAGAGAAAAAGAACAAAGCAGAGACTTTTTGGTTTTTGAAAGATTAAGTTTCAAAACTTTTTATAACTTTTTTTTTAATAGAGGCAGCTCTTTTATCGATATCTGATTTTCCAACCTATGGGAATTTTTGCCACCTCCAGCCTATACTTTATCCATTCCCAACTGGGGCCCTTTTTAAAACTGAAAACATGCAAACCTTTAATCAAAACTTTAATCAACAGGTTTTTAATGATCTTTTCTTGATTTGTTTTGTTGAGATTGATTTACTATTAACTTCTTTCCTTTCTTAGCCACTGCTTCATTTTTTTATCTTTCCCCACCAGTGACGTGATATGAGATTTTGCCCCATTTAAAAAATAGAACGGAAAAATAAGAGTATCATTTAAATGAAATGGAATGACTTTGCCGCCAGGTGGTTGCTGGTTTCTCTCCATAATGCTATTTTTGCCCTATACCCTAATACAGCACCCTAAGAAGATTGTAGTTGTAAAATTTCAAGTAAATTTTGAACTCATATAATTATATATTATACATTTTTTTGTAGCAAAGATTTCTTTTGTGTGTGGTAAACCATTGGAACACCAGAGGGTCATGACCCACACTTTGGGAATCACTATTGTGAAAAGAATATGTACATTCAAGCTAGCAGCTTTATGAGGCTGTACTCAATGGCATCATTTGAGCTTATGATCAGCATACTTCTATGCTCACAGTAACTGTATAAGCATGCTGAATGTTAGACACATCTTAATTTATTCTTCTAAGACAAGTATGGAAAATAATTGATGGGATCAAACAAGCATTCTCACTTTAAATTTTTATTTTTTGTCTCCTTGTACTGTGAAGTTGTCATGGTGTTAATGTTCGAGCTGAAGGACCTGGTGGACCTGATGTCGATAGGGACGCTGCTAGCCTACACATTAGTGGCTGCCTGTATCCTGGTGCTCAGGTTGGTGAGAATATATCAGCTTGAAGAATTTACCTTGGACACGGTCTGAACATGTTTATAGTTGTTTATGCTAGCCAATAAAACTATTGGAAGCTATTTCAAACATACGCAGCATTGACATTGCTTATAAGCAGGTTCATTGTGTGCTAATGTTGCAGTGTGCATCACCAGCTTTATCACCGGTGCTAGCAACTATTTTAAGTGGCAGGAACACAGAGTACAACTGCTATGTCTGAACACTTCATTATGGGTGTTTGTTCTTGTTGTTTCAGGTACCGGCCCAGCATCGGTTACCAGATTGTCAGTAGCCACGAGGAGATGGAGTTGAATGAGGGCAACATCCTGCCCGGTATGGAAGAGAGGCTTAGCTTCAAAACCTTGCTGTTCCCAGACAACCCCACACCATCCAAACTGTCAGGCTTCACTGTCAACGTCTGTGTCTTTCTCCTCGGTATGTTATTAAACCAGGACTGCCTTAAAATGGCAATAAAATCGTACAAATAATGTAAGAAAATCAAGTATAAAGACCTTGTAAAGCACTTTAGTTTTAAATGTGCTGTAGAAATAACATTTATTTGCTTACTCAATAAAATGAAGGCGTTAGATCTTTGGTAAACAACCCAACAAGTGTGCTCGCCTTGAATGTAGGTGATGGATTTATTTCAAATTCAAATTCAAATTCAAATTTTATTTGTCACGTACACAGTCATACACAGTACGATATGCAGTGAAATGCTTGGACAACTGCTCGTGACCTAAAGAAAACAAAAAGGAAAAGGCTATGAATAAGATAGGAAATAAATATGAAAAATTAAAAAGGGTAAATTTAACTAGGAAGGAATAAAATATAAATTAAGGTTAAAAATGAAATAACTGTATAACACAAATTAGAATGAAGGGTAAATTTAACTGGGAAGAATAAGATAAAATATATAAATTAAAGTTGAAAATAAAATAACTGTACAACAAAATACACAATATAGAACTATATAAGAATGTATGAAGAAATCTAAATATAAATAAATATATACACAATAACAGCAGCTGTACAAGTATTAACCGGAAATGAAGAATATAGTGACCAGTGTTGTGCAAAAACAAAGTCCAGAAAGTCCAGTGTGTGTGTAAGAACCATATGTGTGGGTCAGTACTGTGTGGTGGTGTGATTGAGAGACCGTATCGCCTGCGGGAAGAAGCTCCTCCTCAGTCTCTCTGTGTTGGTCTTCAGGGAGCGGAATCGCTTTCCTGACCTCAACAGAGAGAACAGTCTGTTGTTGGGATGGCTGAGGTCCTTCACGATCTTCCTGGCCTTGGTCCAGCACCGCCTGCTGTAGATTGAGTGCAGGTCAGGGAGCTCGGAGCGGATGGTGCGCTCAGCTGACCGCACAACCCTCTGTAGAGCTCGTCTGTCCTGCATGGTGCTGTTCCCGAACCAAGTTAAGATGTTTCCCGCCAGGATGCTCTCTATGGTGCACGAGTAAAAGTTCCTGAGCACCTTGGAGGGCAGTTGGAAGTCTCTCAAGCGTCTGAGGTGGTAGAGACGCTGTCGGGCCTTTTTCACCACGGTGTTGATGTGACAGGACCATGACAGGTCCTGCGTGATGTGAACTCCGAGGTATTTGAAGCTGTCCACTCTCTCCACTGGGCACTCGTTGATGACGGGGGTCTGGTAGTTCCTCTCCTGCTTAGTGCTGAAGTCCACTATCAGCTCCTTTGTCTTACTGACGTTTAGAAGGAGGTTGTTCCTCTGGCACCAGTTCTCCAGTATCTCCAGTATTTCCAGTATCTTCACTGTTAAAAATCACATTGCACTTGTGAAGTATTACACATAAGATAATAACATTTCTTTCATTTTAAAGGAATGCTGATGCTGGCATTCAGTGTTCTGGCATCTTATGGAGATCTTGCTTCGTGGAACTTGGTAGCCCTCAGCGTCATCTTCATGATGTGTCTTTTCGTGGTCTTCATCATCTGGAGACAGCCCCAGAACCACACTAAACTCTCCTTCAAGGTTTGATTTAAGCCCTTTCAGCACTACCTCTGCCCCCTGAGAGTTCACGCTCGCTAAGTTTTAATGGATACTGTTACGCTTTCTCCTTTTGTGGTATTTGTCTCCCAGGTGCCCATGCTGCCCTTCATTCCAGTGATCAGCATGTTTGTCAATATCTACCTGATGATGCAGCTTGAAGAACGCACTTGGGTTAAATTCTCAATCTGGATGGCCATAGGTAGTTACACTCCATCGTTCTTGTTTTAACTGCAAGAATTCTGCTCGCTACACTTACCTAGGATGACGCTGAAAAGTCTCACACACCCAGCTGACTATTTTACTTGCTTTAGCTGCTTGAAATGGGCTAGCTGCTTTGACTTGACATTGCAATGTGTTCGCAGACCGATCTGAAACATTTACAAAACACGAGTAAACATACTTTGTCAGTTGGTTGCGAAAATGTCGATGTTATTAAAAAGGTACATGTTTTTAGACTGAAAAGTTCAGCAGGTGTATTTGCATTGAAAAGCTAGGATTCCATAACACCGGTTCTTTTTGCCTTTCCAGGTTTCGCGATCTACTTCAGCTATGGTATCCGTCACAGCACCCTGTCAGCTGCAGCTCATTCGACTCCGGACACAGAGATGATGGGCTTAGGGCTTAACCACAAGTCAGCATCACCAGAAAAGGAAGCCTTTCTGTCCAATGGCATTGATGTAAGGGAAGAGAATGATGGAGATTTGTAGGAATTTGCAAATCTCCATCATCAGATCACGCTGCTTCCAAGACATGCATCCTTGATAGCCAGCAGTCAGTCTGTGTCAGCTCACTGGCAGAACTTTCTTTTAGGGAAGGTAAAGATAAATACCTCATACCTAAAATTCACAAACTTCTGACTTACTTCTTCAGCTGCAGGGAGAACACAGCCATAACTGACATGTTCTGTATTTTGCAATAAGGTTCAGATTCAAGTGCCAATTATTACTTGACTATCAGGAATTAGGGCTTATGTTGGAGAAACAGAATACATCATTGTCTTAAAGAGGTTGGGGGGGCATAGTCTCTGTTTCTTTTCATATTGGGTTGTACTTACGTCCACAACCTGTGACTGAGCCACATTTTTGACAGCAGGAATATGTACAAAAGCCAATATGTGGGTGCCAGAAAGGTCTGCAATGATCAATGATGGATGGATTTTTGTTGTTGTTGTTGATGATGATGTTTGTTTGTTGTATCAAAAGTTCATCAGTTAGGTTCATGAGTCTTTGTTGGACAATGACACATTTTTTAGTGCTTTTGCCTCCATTCTGTACCAAGAGATTTTAAATCAAATGATCAAGATGTGAATCAAGGGAAGTGCAGACTTTAATTCAAAGTGTTTATACAAAGGTCTGAATTTAATTATCAGGGACAAAAAAACCCTGGAGAAATTAACAAGGGTTGCTTTTAATAACTGGGCAAAAATCTTTTACAGTCAGTGATGGTCTGACATCCAGAAATTAGTTCAGTTTTTTCTTCTGAAAGTGTAACTCTGTTGGCTTGATGTAACTGATATGGCCATTAAAGAACATAGCCTTTCTTTGCCTTGAGAAAGTTGCTTTTGCAGAATGTGTTTGGTCATTATCCAGTTTGCACTGCGAAGTGTCCATTGTACAACCGGGTTGAATTGGAACATAGAGTACAGCCCTGCATGCTTCACAGTTCATCCTGCTACTTATATCAGCAGCTGAATCGTCATCGATAAACACTAGTAAACTGGTTCCACTGGCAGCCATACATACTCATGCCATAACACTGACTCCACCGTGTTTGACAGATGATGTGTTATGCTTTGGATCATAAGTTGTTTTTTTCCTGCTTCACTATCCTTTTCCCATTATTATTGGCTTCATCCGTGCAGGTTCTATATTTCTGGCAAAGTCTAATCTGGCCTGTCTCTTGTTGAGTTTAACCAGCAGATTGAATCCTCTTTTAAAATGACTCGATTTCCATTCATGAAGGCAACTAACTACCTCCTAAAGAGTGTTCTTGACTTTCTTAACCAAGAAAGTCAAGAACACTCTGATAACGACTGTGTTTAGACTGTCCCCTCCCTTCCATGCAAGACCATGGGTTGGCTGGAAAACTGTTTACTTAGCCTGGCGGGGCGAAGGACACTGTCTCAGCTGAACTCTGGACACACACACACATACACTGATATGCACACACTGATCCCCCCTCCCTTTCCAAACGCCTTCGATGCTTGTGCCCTACCGGGGAAGATGGCAGTCGACTGGACCAGCGCAGACATGCTGCAGGACCAGATGCGCTGTCTACACCGGCTCTCTCTTACCCTTTACCCGCCCCTGTTGCTTGTCTTGTGTTTCTATGGTGTATTGATAGTCATGTGCTTTTTGTGCTGAGGTGTTTTTTCTGTTATCAAACTGTTCTCCCACTAGGAGCTCAGTCTGAGGAGTTTTTTTTTCTCCTCCTCTTACCTCATGTTATGTATTTTTGTTGTTTTTTTCCTATCAGCCTACCTTTCTGACATGTCTCCCCAATGTGATGTTTGTGTAAAGTTGGTCAGAAGGTTCCTTTGTAAGTGCGCATGCGCCATTAGCGTGCTGCCTGCTGTAACCCTAATTTCCTTCGGGATTAATAAAGTATTCTGATTCTGATTCTGATTCTGAAAAGAATTCTGCGATCATCCACTTTAGTTTCTCCTGTAGTTTCCTACGCTTTCTGGTGTTGCTCAGCTGCCCGCTGTGTCCCTTCTTGTAACAGATTATTGATTTGGCAGCCGTTTATTTTGGTTTATTTTTTATTTAAAATCCATCGTTGTGTGGTGGTCCACAAAGGCTAAATTACAAAAAAACAAACACAAATAAAGTGTGTCATCGTCCATATACTTATGGACCTGAGTGTATGTGCAGCAGTCTTATCATCAGATAACACATGTAAGTATAAAATACAGGTTGGTATGAATACCTAAGTTCTCTAAAATCTCCCAGTTCTTATGTAACAATAGAAAGTATACTGTTCTAACATTGCTCCATTACAAGCTCTCACATTACACTTGGCTTATCTGTGACATAATTCTTCACTAACAGAAATCTGTGGTCAGGTCAGTGTCTGGATGTATAAAAGCAGCTGCAGTTCGCTGTGCTTTACCGTTTCTACATGTGAAAATTTTTCATTGATGCCTTTTGAGGTCCAAAACTTGGTCCTCATGTTCAGTTGTGGTTTAACAGTACAGTTTTAATGCAGTGGTATGTTTGTTTATATCTTTGTTTTCTTAAGCAGCAATCATGAAACATTGTAAAGCAAAGATCTGCAACGCAGAATGTAATACACAAACTAATGTTCCAGGAGTGTAGACAACACTATTGCAAGTTGTTTAACTTGTGCGTTGTGTTAGCTCTCCCATTGGTAATGGCAGTAAATCTAACTTCTGAATCTTTGTACATGTTTAGGATGAAAGCAATGACAGTTTCAGATTTTCAGTTCATGTCCTCCAACTTTAAGTGACAGTGGATTTTCACAGTGCTGGCTGCTGTATCTTTGCATTTGTGGTTTGTAGCATGTATTTTCTAATGCAAAATAAGAGAGGCCAAATTTTTACCACTTGTTTGTTTTTTCTAATCAAATGAAATGTCTCTTTTGAGGAAGTTATATGTCTGCCATTCATTTTACATGTTTTCTCCTGTTTATTGATGTGTTTTAATACCCATGCTGAATTTTTACAAATGTAATTGGATACTGTTTGGCTGAGTTTTACACCCCTGTCATTAAAATATGTAACACACAAACTGAACTTAATAAAATTTTGATTGTATGATCAAAATGACTGGCTTCATATTTTATTCCTTTAAACAACTATCAAAATTATGCTTGCATTTTGAATGAAAGAAGCAGTGAAGCAGTGCATGATTGCCGGCATCGTTTCGACCACTTTTCAGTGCGTCTGTTTTTCGAAACATCTTGATATTGACCGGAGGCATAAAAATGTTAATCTACTTAGCAGTGGGTGATTATTTCGGATGAACTATATAGACAAAACTACACATTACACCTGCAAGAGCTTTGATGACAAGAGTTCTAAATGTAGTTGACTTTTATAGCTAGATGTAACAACTTCCACTCTCCTGGGAAAACTTTCTGCAAGAATGCGTTTGTGGAAAATTTCGGCCATTAATCCAAAAGAACATTTGTGAGGTCAGACACTGATGTTGGACATTTGGAGTTTTTCTGCTAGTTCATCCCAAAAGTGTTTAATGAGACTGAGGACAAGGCTCTGTGTTCGCCAGTCAAGTTCTTTCACAATAAAGACATCCAACTATAAGAATCTCGCTTTGTGCAAATAAAATACTGTGTTCCCTAAACCCTAAACTGTTCCCACAAAGACGGAAGCAGAGACTTGTCTAAAATGTCTTGATAGCCTGAAGCATTAAGATATTCCTTCACTGAATCTAATGAGCCCAGGGCCAGCCGCAGGGAAGCTATAATTATGGGTGTGGATACAATTGATTTCTTTAACTGTAGATGGCAGATCTTTAACTTTTCACACATATCATAGTTTCACTGCATTTGTAGTTCTTCAATTACAGTTTTATAGCCAAAGCACTTCCCGTAATTTTATAAAAGGAATTTAACTCAAAGGAATCTACATGTGCCAAATCTCAGTATTTAGGAAAAAACTATGTATGGACCTAGTATGAAAGAGACGAACATAAAATACTGAAATACAGGAAATGAGCAGTAAATTAAATATCCAATTCTAAAACAGTTTGGACGCTGTGTAAACTATAAATAAAAAACAGAATCTTTTATTCACAACTGAGATATTTTAGGTCATTTTGAATTCGATCGCAGCAGCAATGTTAGGCCCACTTGCCTGATTTAAAACCTTGGAAAATTTGTCATTTTCCAAAAACCTATGAACCTAATTGTATACACACCTCCACACACACACACACACACACACACACACACACACACACAAATCCTACACATATCCTGCTATTTTGGTACCAGTGTCAGTATGTAGACTACATATGTCTGTAATGCTTAAATGACTTTTGAATTTATAGCACAGTAGGACTTGTAATTCAGCTTTTCAAAATCCAGTCGCGGTCATATTGGAATCCCACCACGTGGGAAGAGCTGCTTCCCACATGTTCCAGCAGAGGGCGCACATGTGTTAAAAAAGCCCGGCCGTCTGAGCAGAAGGATGCTCAGCCAGGTGTCGGCTGCAGCATCAGCACCGCTCCTCCTCCAGTTCCCTCCTCCTCCTGCTGTCCGCAGTACCTCTCTTTCTCTCTATCTCTCTCTCTCTCTGTGCGTCGTTTCTGGCAGCCAGGGAGAGTGGGGGGGAGTGGAGAGACGCGCTGGCAACTCCTGCGTTTTCACCGACATTCTTCAATGAATCAGCAACAGAGAAAGCTGCAGGTAAGTCGCACGACTGTAAACACCCCGTGCTTATTTTGCTCGGAGGGCTAGCATTGATTTCCCGAAAAAGTGTCGCACTTATTTTGCTCGTAGGATTTCGGGTCTTGCTGCCGGACTCGGTTCGACCAGCACCATAAATACAGTTTGTTTTTGACTAGGCCCGCATCACGGCAATGCGCGAAGGAATTTAGCTCGACTCTACATATAAATAGCTGTAACCTCGAAGTTGAGCCACAGTGTTGGAGAGAAAGTGAGGTCAGAAGGAAGAGACGGTGCGATGGAGATGGATGGAGCAGGTCAAGTCTCTGTGGGTGTTGCTAATGATCCAGTATAGATTTTAGGATTTAAACCAGATCCACTGCACTGAGAGATGACATGGACTTGAGTTTGAAGGATTTTGTTTTCATTTCTCGCCAAATGTCATTTATTGATGAGCTATTTTTTGTGAGCGTATAGACTTCAAAAGCAAAGACTCTCATAGCTTTCTAATACATAACATATAATTCTTGTTAACTGATAGCGGAAAAGCTGCAATATTTTAAATTTCTTGTCGTGTTTGCCCGCTCAGGCTTAAGCTTTTTACCAGTGAAAGTGGACAAATGTACATTTATAATACCAAGGTTTGAAGTCTGATAGTATGATTAATAACTTTTCATTTCTAAGTCCACGAGTGACACTGCTGCACACTCATGCAAACACTAATTCTTCAGTATCTTGACTGCTTTCAAGGAATCCACGGCACAGAGGTTGTATTGATACTTCAGTTCCATTTGCAACACTTCCCATTTTCTCAGTCTCATTGTTGGAGACTTGAGACCTGACAAAAGAAAACAACGGATGGAACAATTAAAAGTGACTGAGGGATTTCACGCTGTTGTTTCAATTGACCGGTGTCGGATGATTGGATTGTCCTTGAGGCAGTTGGATGGCGGTGTCTTTGTTGGGGTGAATCCCCCTTTTTCAGCTGCTTGGCCGAAGTTCTTGTACTTTTTTCAAATCCGTTCTAGTTTGCAAGCGTTAAAGTTCAGAATTTGCCTGTACTACTGAAGTATGTAAACAATGTGCCTCTAATCTGACAGTTTCCGTGTAAAAATAAGTGATGTTTTCAGCATTTATTGGAATTGTCTGCTGCCACTATTGATCTCAGTATCAGAGACTTCCCACATTTATGGATCTTCAAGTCCGTTTTGCTAAATCTCACCAATCCCTCCCGATCATGTTAACGTGGAGGTTGACACTGCATCAAAGCAGGAAAGCAGATCTTACGGCCTTGGCTGTACACTGACTGCTCTAGTTGCTGCTCTCGATGCTGATGCATGTGTGATTGATTCATTACATCTGACCTCTGCTAGGTCTGAAGAGCGATCAATTTATCAGATCTCTGCCAGAAATACCACTGCCGGCTGTGTGTGTGCGCGTGTCTGACTTTGTGTGTTTTGTCTAAGCGTGAGGTTCCTATACCGTGTGTGTGTGTGTGTGTGTATGTATTTGTTTCTGTAGGTACAGAAAAGCCTATGAATGTAACACACTGGTATGACCTTCAAGGTTATTTAATAGGACAGAACGGAGGAGAAGGAGGAGGAAGGAAGGGAGAGAGGGAGAAATTGAGATGGGAAGTGAACAGAAGCTGAGAAGGACATTAAAGTTGGTCAGTGTGCCTTTGAATAACATGTCACAAGTGCAAGGTTTTAATTATTTTGAAACATTTTTGTCTTTTTTTTTTTTTTAACATTTTTGCTTGGATGATTGTGGTCTACTAATAAATATAACAGCGGTTTCCCGATAGTGGTGAAATAGGTTTAATGTAAGAAAATGATAGAAAAGGTTGCAGTTATTTTAATAACACAATTGTAAGAATCCTCCACACTTTGGACGCAAGACGCTCTGCACTTGCAAGTGCACGTACACACGCATGTGCCTTATGTGTGAACCGAGCATCAGCACACGCATTCTCGA